GACCTCCTGTTCCCCTGGCACCCATGCTCTTAACACTCACTTTTGCTTTTGTAACTTTGCCTGCTTTGCACATCTGGCTTCCACCAAGGAAGACTCTGCAAAGAAAGGCACTCACAGTCGCAAACAACCTCTGCTTCTCACTTGCCTTGACAGTTCCTTGCTGGGGTTGCCATAAGTCAGTTGCAACTTGAGTGTCCTTATGTAATAGCCCCCTACTTAGATTCTTCTTTGACTCAGCTGAGTGACCCTTCTGTACCCAGAGGGCTAAGTTCTGGGGTGGAATTGGTGTTTGTATCATCAGAAAGATCATAACATGTTTAAAACTCAGTAGTGTTTGCAGCTGAACCAGGACAGCGGGGTGTGTGTACCAGTTTGGCGCACCTAAGGGCCGGAGCGCTCTAGGCGAGCACCTAGTTCACCTAGTGAGTGAGCCGGTCCTGCCCATCCTATACATGCATTAACTAACACAACAGGTCTTAAGACTAATATATGAATAATCTAAACTCAACGGAAATTGTTTAGCAACCCAGCATGCTGCTGAAAAGCATAGTGACTTCACTTTCTGAAATCTTAACTATTTGTTGTAGGTCTTAAGTGAAGATGACTTTCAGAAATGGGCCAACTTTCGTCACGAGGCAGAAACAGCAATTGACAACAGAGAAGAGCTATTAATGGAGACAGCACAACATCTGGAGACTAAACTCACTTTACTAGGTATCTTCTAAAACAATTTATTTAGGATTCTTTACCGTTCTGGTAATTGTGCTACAAATCAAGCTCACAACATGAAATGACAGCACTCCACTCTGCAGTGTACTATATTTGTGCAATACACCATGCCATGCTGTGGTTTTGTCTCTATGATGCTGAGATAAGGATCATGCAGCAATAAGTAACCAAAGAAGTTGGTAAGAGTGCAGGCCTGACTGCACCCATAGCAAAGGATGTGAGCTCCCTCATTCCTCTCAAACAGCACCCTAAATCCCTGCCACCTGTTCTATTTGGGTCATCCATGGTGCAGGTTGACTATTCGTGATTTTTTTAAAGAGGGAACATATACAGTCATCACTACTAATATCTGGCTGTTGACCTCTAGTAGAAGAGATGTTATTACACTTTCAGTTCAGTCATTAATTAAATTTAGTATTCATTTAGCCTTCTGGTCTTCCTTTTGGAACATCTCATGCAAGGAAATATAATATAACCTTCCATAGTCCTTTGAAGAGATGAGGAACTGTCCTGTTTAGTAAATTTCTTTCAATTAAACAATTCAACTTTCAGTTAAGTTCTGTGCCTTTCTTATGATGATATGACCTTTCTAAAGATACGGGTCATGATTCAGAGGATTATTGAAAGAAGATGCAAAGTCACTACTTGTCCAGTCCTATGCACAGAGGTGCAATCTCTGACACAAGCTGTAGGCATAATAAGCTGGTTCTGAACTAAGTTCTGTAGTTTAGGTTTCCCACACAAGAGTTCATGCACAGGAGCCTGAAAGTGCAAAGTATTTCCAATGGATGCTGAAGTCTATTCTGCATAGGGAGAAGGATCTCTGGATCAGAGTTCTGTTGCTTTATGGCTTGGTCACCACACTGTTATCAATTGTGGTAATTCAGCTGTCAACATGAAGTAAAATTAATACCTGTAATGATTCCTTGTTTTATGAGAGTGTGTGTGCCTTTAAATATTTGGTTGAAGTGTGGTGATAAGCAGACTAGAGTGATTGAGAGAGACAAATGTGCTGTGATTGGTGGATGACAGTGTTGGAGGAGTTTTTGAAAGGAATCTGTGTGTGTGTGTGTGTGTGTGTGTGCATGTGTGTGTGCGCGCGCGCGAGTTGGTCAGTTGAAAGTCAGTTGGATTTGTTCAGTTGATGTTCAGTCAGTGAGGGTTAATATAGGTCTGTGTGAGATCTCAAAGAGGGGAGTATATATGTCCTTAGCCTGAGTGGTTGACTCTAAAGGAAA